AATTACTTGCCGCGATTGACAGAGAAACAACTGGTGGGCCAAATGGGAAAGGTCTTGACATATATTGTCAGTGTTTCCTTTCATATACGAAAGAAAGACAGAGACAAGGAGACTGATTCTTTGAACCTCGAATTTATATAGAAGTATGTGTTTTCATAAATGAATAAATTTAAAGTATAAAAAGCCCTGTATTGCTCAAATAAACAGAACAGTTTTTGTTGTGTTAAGAAAGATGAACAAACGGCGCCTAAGTCTTGAATATCAAAACAAAATAATAAGTGAAAACATTTTCTATAAGGAAGAGCATGGTTTATCCTTTTTATGAGTGGTTTTCATTCCAACATAAATGAACACAAAAGTACAAAACAAAAGAAAATGTGGAACTTGGGTTGTATAATATTATAAAATCATTCGTGTATCGTAAACAGAACATATTAATTTTAGGCAAACAATATATCTAGCGAATTCAACAGAAGATTCTCTTTCTATATTTTTGATATCCAAACTGGTTTAACATAGTCTGTTTCGTTTCAATATTTTCACCGCGTTGACATAACATAACAAAAGAAAGAAATATACACGGTATAATAGTATAAATATATAAGAAAATGTAGATAAGTCAAATTAAAAGAGAGAACAAAGAATGGGTCAATAATATTTATTCTGTTTTCATTATTACACTAGGATGTGGTCACTATACCAAGTAATTAAACGAGCAGCCGATAATCATGCCAAACTGAGGAATAATTTGGCATTTTCCTTTACATTCAAGTGGACGTGTGGATGTACGAGATTTGAAGCGTCACTCACGGTTTCAAATTCTTCTTGGATCTTCTCGAACAAGGGAACATTGTACGAAATCATAACTATTTAAAAGTAAGTAAAATATGTTCAGAGCCATTCCAAAAATTAAAATAATTATGTTATTTATTGTTATTTACTATATCCATCGATTGATCTATTTTTCTGCCTGTCTTTTTATTTGTCAGAACGTTTATTATTTATTTCTTTTATACTTATTACAACAATATTGTCTGTATATGTTCACTTCATTCTTCAGAAACCTTTATTACCCTGCTTTTATTACTTGAATTTCATACTATATACTCATAACAAAAACTTCTCCATTCTCCTCCTCCTCCTCCTTCTTCTTCTAATCATCATCATCATCATCTGCCTGTCTGTTTATCTGTTATTAACGTTTATTATTTATTTCGTTTATACTTGTTACAAAAATATTGTCTGTATATGTTCACTACATTCTTCTTAAACTTTTATTACCCTGCTTTTATTATTTGAATTTCATAATATATACTGATAAGGAAAACCACTCCATTCTTTTTTCCTTCTTCTTCTTCTTCTTCTTCTTCTTCTTCTTCTTCTTCTTCTTCTTCTTCTTCTTCTTCTTCTTCTTCTTCTTCTTCTTCTTCTTCTTCTTCTTCTTCTTCTTCTTCTTCTTCTTCTTCTTCTTCTTCTTCTTCTTCTTCTTCTCTTCTTCTCTTCTTCTTCTTCTTCTAATCATCATCATCATCATCATCATCATCATCATCATCATCATCATCATCATTATCATCATCATCATCATCATCTGCCTGTCTGTTTATCTGTCAGTAACGTTTATTATTTATTTCCTTTATACTTGTTACAAAATATTGTCTGTATATGTTCCCTACATTCTTCTTAAACCTTTATTACCCTGCTTTTATTACTTGAATTTCATAATATATACTGATAACGAAAACCACTCCATTCTTCTTCTTCTTTTTTTCTTCTTCTTATTCATAGTCTTCGTTTTCTCTTTCTTCTATTCATTATTATTATTATTATTATTATTATTATTATTATTATTATTATTATTATTATTATTATTATTATTATTATTATTATTATTATTATCTGCCTGTCTGTTTATCTGTCAGTATCGTTTATTATTTATTTCCTTTATACTTGTTACAAAAATATTGTCTCTATATGTTCACTTTCTTCTTCAGAAACATTTATTACCCTGCTTTTATTACTTGAATCTCATAATGTATACTGATAACTAAAACCAATCTATTCTTCTTCTTCTTGTTCTTCTTCTTGTTCTTCTTGTTCTTGTTCTTCTTCTTGTTCTTCTTGTTCTTGTTCTTCTTCTTCTTCTTCTTCTTCTTCTTCTTCTTCTTCTTCTTCTTCTTCTTCTTCTTCTTCTTCTTCTTCTTCTTCTTCTTCTTCTTCTTCTAATTATCATTATCAGCATCATCATCATCATCATTATTATTTTTCATTATTATTATTATTATTATTATTATTATTATTATTATTATTATTATTATTATTATTATTATTATTATTATTATTATTATTATTATTATTATTATTATTATTATTATTATTATTATCCTCCTCATCATCGTCCTCAATCTCATCCTCATCCTCATCATCAGCATCTCTCACACAAACACTTTCAAAAACACAAAGAGAATTGGTAGCAACATGGTTAGAGAAGAACATACCAACTTTTCAATGTAATCAGCTTTCTTTTGACGGCAGAACATTACATTATTTTAATACCTTAGAGATAATTTAGAGAAATTTTTAATACCAATGAAAACTATTCTCATCCAGGATAGAGAAAGTTTAATTCATACTTATGGAGACTTTAATTTTAGTCCACGGGTAACGGCACTCATTTGCCTTGCCTGCACCTACCATCTCGCTATATTGGTAGAAGCAATCGTGAGTAGAAGACACAGAAAAATAGCTTCTGGCTCCTGCATGATCCATAATCAAATATTGTTTTGAGCCTGTATATCTCACCAAATAATTCAGAAGGTTTTGTAATAAGGCTACTATTAGAAACGTAGAATGAATTGAACTATATGCTGTCATGAACAAAGGTCAAGGTCGAGTAAAGAATTTTGCTAATCTGAGAATTATAGACTTATTTGCAAATTAAACTATTGTTTAATGAGGAAGGCGTTGTTTTGATAGAAGTATATGATGTGAATAGATCTATAAACAGGTATATTTCATTTGCACTATTTGAACTTACATTGTCAGTTTGACAGGTATCAGTATGTCAAATCTAAAGGCAAGAGTGTTTTAATCAGTAGGTCCAAAGAGAAAAGCAATGCACTAGAAGTTGGGAAAAGCAATCGTGTTGTCACAACAGAAATGAGGATTGTCTTTTGTGCTAGTGTGACAAGTATATGTCGATCGATCATTCCATTGGTCTAATTTACAGAGCGACCGCTTCAAATGCGGGAGGCTGCTAGTTCGAACCGGTCATACCAAAGAATTTACAAATGTACTAAGAGTTGTCTCGCTTGGCGCTCGGTATCAAGATGTTAGGAATGATCGGATATCGTAGCGATATGACTGAAAATTTGTTAAAGCTATGTTAAAAAACTAAATCATACACACATTTTTTCTTTCTGTACGTGTTTATCTATGACGCGCTTGACATAGGATTGATAAATCCATACTTGTTCTTGTTGTCTCTAGGAATAATTTGATACCATTCGGTTCAATGTCTGGTAATTTAAGTGCCCCGATTAAGTGATGCTGCCGCACGAAATAGCGGAGTTCTGCTGTGGCATCGTTGGCCCTAATATGGATCTTGTGAAATAGAATTGCCAGGTGGAACATGCCAGCGCTGTGATGTAGACGAATTTGCAGAGACTGATAGAAGCAAAATGGTCAGTCAACCCACCAGTCATTCAGTAGTCAAACATTCCACCAGTCAATCAAACAGTCCACTTCCACCAGCCAAACAATCCAATTCCACCAGTCAATCACCAACCAGTCTATCAGAACGAAAATATAACATACTACAGACGACACGAGCAAGTATATAAACACGTATGTTATGATTTGTAAGTTTGAATTATCGGGACAACTTTTGAAAGCGAAAATCAGATTCAGAAGTGAACATGTGTTCAATAATAATCTTATAGTACTTGCCTTAATAAATACAACGATATTGCAAATATAAACTATACTCTTAAATGACATACAAGTAAATTATGAGATATACTATAGCATCGCAGTATACGAAACGCGTCAGTTACCAAAATATAAAATAAACACGGCAGCACAATTGCAATATTCTATAATACAAATAGGAAATTTGTGTATAATTTACATATCTCTACAGCTGGAGATCGCGAGTCGTTAAAGTATACAGCTGACTGAAAAGACATCTCGCATTGTACAATTTTGCTCTACGTTGAGGTAATTTATATACTGATTGTAGCCTACTTTGTGCGCTTGAGAACTAAGGTTTTACTATTTTAATCACTTCTTTTGTGCAGCATAGGATAAACCGAACTCACTGTTTCGAAATAATATGTGATTTACATAGATCACCCTAGGGTAATGCTGTACATAAAAAATTAAACCCGACTGCATGTACTTATTATAAATAAAACTATAGGTTTGTATAATTTCGTGACAGTCGGTTTGATTAGATCTTTTGTGATATGTTTTTCATATCCTATGGGAATTGCAAATGCTCATTTGCAGCATGCACATAGTAAAACTGGTCATTAAGAGGCCAAACATCTGAGAAAGACAAACTGGGATTTTTACTCAGGAAGTCTTGGAAGGCATGTACATGATTCAAATTTTGTTTCTATATACAATATACCCATTACCACTATTGTTGTAATTATTACTTTATTATTACATTATCAGTTGATATATTGTATTGGATGCTTCAACAAAATCATAAAATACATGCATATGTTATTTGTTTGCAAACTTACATTTCAAGCATCGGACAGTGAGTTGTTTGACAGAACCATTAAAATCACCTTGGCAACTGGGTGTGCATGTGTGCGTGTTGCCAGTTTAGGCACGAGATGAAATTTTCTTAACTGATGTCAAGCACTGGGGCATCATGCCACAGACATGTGACATGATGTCTCACCCAGTCACATTATCCTGACATAAGGCCGACCAGTCCTAACACTAACCTCATAATGCTGAGCGCCAAGCGAGGGAGCTGTTAGTACCATTTTTGTAAGTCTTTGGTTTGGGTATCGAACCCAAGACCTCCCGCATCCGAGAGGACACTTTAACCATTAAGCTACCGGAGCTTTTACAAATCACAAATGCAATCACGAATAGACAATCATCAATTGAGTTACTTATGCGATATATGCATGTGTATTTGGCTAATCTAAAACATTGTGTCTCACAGTACCACGTGTATCATAAATCTCATCGTTTTCGTGACTGTGAACTTTAGCGTGGTTGTTGCGGCAGTGGTTAATATGATCAAGAAGAACGTGTCACACTGGCTATTAAAAAACGCCCGAACTTCATCTCATCCCACAATTGGCAACACGCACACACTCATGTGTTGTTGTCAAATGAGATTTAAATGGTACTGTCAAATAAATAAGTACCTGATGATGAATATGCGTGAATAAACTAATTTTGGTTAGGTTAATCAACGATATAACATTGTATACGAAGGAACTGACCTCCACAAAGTCAAGTGCCAACACGGAAAATATAATATCACACGTAAAAAAGCAGCAACTCCTTCGTGGGAATATCCATGTGTGAAATACATGCAGCGATTGACATAAACAGTAGTAAGCATTAAAGTGAAACCAGACCTTAAATGAAAGAGAGGTATGGAATTACTACCAACATAATCCAAATCTGATTTGAACAATCATAAATTTTAATAACATGACGGCAGCGGTCTTCTGAAGTACTGTAGCATTTACTGAATTATTTGAGAAACACTGTTTGATGCCATGAAAATTTGGCAGTATCAAAACATTAAATTAGAACTTAAATACCTCTGACTGTTGTTCGAGTCTCCTAGATAAATTTTGCAATGAAGAAATGAAGTTATTCGTTCACTGTTACCTAAAAAAACATGATAATTCATTTATTTTGCTATAATAGAGCAACAGTTAATATAGGAAAATAACTGGGTGTATTTGATGTAACTTTATCGTAAACCATTCAGCTAGTAACTGAGCACCCTAGCTATAGTATTCACCTTTTCAATATAGTTCTACCAGGTTTCTAGTTGCACTTATTCTTGTCATCCATGCCTGATGAAGTCTCTCCACAAAGATGGATGATTGACCATACAGAGAAAATGCCTCGATAAAATATCAAAAGTATATATCTGGTAAGAAGCTTCTCCGTATTAAAGTATAAACATTTTTATTGCTGAAATGAACAGAATATTTGTAGTCGTGCTGAAGAAAATGAACCAAAGAACTTAAATCGTTAATATCGAAGCAAAATAGCACGTGGAAATATTTTCCACAGAGAACAGCAAGGATCAACCTTTGGTTAGTGGCTTTCGTTACGCCTATGATGTTATTGTTCAAAGTGACACAAAGCGGCTAACTAATGGTCTAAAGCACAAACGAAATGGTGATGTAGAATACGGGTTGGATGACATTTACAATCATTCGTGTTTCGTAAACAGAACATAATTTTAAGAAAATAATAGATCTAGCTGAGTCTGGTCAAGATGTATGTTGATTAGCATCCTTTTCAAAACGGAAATGATGCTAACACAACATGGCTGACTGCTTGTTTCTATCTGAACTGGTTTTGCCTGATCTGTTTTATTCATTTTTTTCATGGCGGAAAGAAAGATATAGTTTATCAAAATGTAGATAAGTCAAAATAACAGAGCTAACTCAGAATGTGTCAATGACTTTTATTCTTTTATCATAGTTACAATTTGAAGTGGCAACTACAAATATTAACGGCAAGGGAAAACTTGACCAGTAATAGTAACAATTCTGCACGGTGGTTTTGGTTTCCTGCAATAAACTGGAGTGTGGCCAGTTAGATAATCATTGAGTCTTTCAATTTCTGCATGGCCCTTGTGCCAGGGAACAATCTCTACGTAATCACAACTATTGACGCGTAAGAGCGTTCTGTTCAGAGCCTCTCCTGAATAAAACAATATGCTATATACTGTATCCGTAGATTGATCTAGTTAAATATGTATGCCTGTATGTATATTTGATGAGTGAAATTTATTTATTTATTTCTCACTGTTACTTAAGTCTTTATAAGCACAATTTTACTTGATAGAATAATATTGTATACATAATATGTGCGCACTGCCTTCTTCCTGTTTTTAAGATAATTTTGATATTCAGATATTTTATCAATGTTCCACTGCTTTTGTCTCTAGATTGTTATATATATATATATATATATATATATATATATATATATATATATATATATACACACGCACAAAGGAAAATTTTTAACTACGCAGTTATGGAAGAGTTTGCCAACATTAACATGTATTCAGCTTTCCGTGAAGTGCAGCAAGCAAAATATATTAATACCATGCAGAGCATATATAGACATTTTAAATATGAATGGAAAATATTATCATACATGATAGAGAACTTTTAATTTGTACTTTAAGTATAGGCATCCATGTGTAGCAGACAACTGAAGTAACACCTTGCTGCCTAATGAACTGTAATAAATTATTTGATTAAAGCCGATATATGTTACAGAGTTTACTACTAGAACCAAAGACTGAATTTAAGAAAATATATACACATGTACATGTTATGCAGATTTTATTTATGTGTGCTTGAAATTTCTCCATGATTGAATGTAGAGTTTTGGTCTATCTAACTTTCTTTTTTCATGGCTGAGTGTTGTGTCTTTCTGACTTATCCAATTAGGCTTACTTTGAAGACCTGACCTTGTCTAAAATGCAGTGATCTTTCCTTTAAAAAATAGCAGTTTTATATAGGAAAATATTATTGCCTAATTGGTCAGGTAACAATATGTGTATAGAGGACAATAGGTAACAGTTATTCATTCATGTTTTCTAATTTGTCTAAAGAATCAGCTAGTTTTATGTTCAGATATAATTTTGGAGGAATTTTGTTTTTAATTATTCATTAAAATTCTAAAGTGCTCTTTACCAGAAATATAATATTCCTCGCCAATTACTAACTCAACGCCACATCTGTCTTCTGTCAGCGGAGTCCATAATACGAAGTCATGATGTTCTCCCATTTGTTTAGGTCCCTCCTGAAAAGGGAGAAGTGAAATGTGTTTTGAAAGAATCCGATAAATTTGTTTTCCGTGAGTCTAACAAACAAAGAGAGAGAATGTCAATCAGATGACATATTTTAATTACTAACTCTATATTAAGGGCAAGGAAGTATTAGTATTGTCTCACTAAAACTGTTGAATTGTAGATAACTATGATATTTGAAGACGCGGTCTATGAAATAACTAATGTTTAAAGCTTATTAGTAGGCCACAAGAAAGCATCCTTGTCTCATACCAATGTAGAACTGATTCTTTTAATATGTGGTATCTATGTAGGTTAATGATAATCGGTAACTAATACATGTCCATTGTATTTCATAGGCCCAATGAAAGCCTTAATGTTTGACAGATGCTAATTGCATATGTGGAATTGTTTGTGGTTTCTTTGTGATCTAATGACAAAAGGAACGATCAAAGGTATGTTTGGTTAGAATGAGAATGGTTTCTATAAATGTCTCACTACAACGCTGCATGAATTGCAGATCTTAAAGAAGTCATATTACAAAATCAGATTGCAAATTTAAGAGGTTTAAAGACATTAAAATCTTCATCAAATATAATTAGTCGATGTTAACGCTCTTGATTTGAATGAAAATGTACTGGCATGTGCACCACATAAGTACGAGAATACAGGACCCCGAGATGATGGACTGATGAATAGATATACAGTACCTCCTATGAAGGGCCGAAGGTTCAAAACGACAAGGATTGCTCAAGCAGTAAAGAAATAATCTTAGGAAATATCTTGCTTTTCTTGAAATGTGTAAATTCCGAATAAAAAATGTTTGCTGTAGGAATGCTTAACTATCTAATTGAACGAAATGCTAGGATTTATAATAAATCAATAATTAATCACGACGAATCAGTGCAGAGCTTTTACTATATCAATCCATTGGGTACATTTCATTTGTGCTTGCAGTGATACTTGCAAGCAATACATCACTCTATTTTGAAATAAAGAATGCTAAATACAAACAAAATCTGTACAGAAAATATTTTCCGTCAATCTGGGAAAATGCGATGGATTTGTTTCTCAAAATGCAAATAGCAAGTAGAAAGGATACAATTTTACAAAGAAAGAGTGATATAGAAGATAAAATCACCAATACCCCCCCCGAAAAAAACCCCAAGCAAAACAAATGAATTTTAACTTTCTCAAAGTTTTGCAGAATATTAGAGTTAAAGTATTCTGCCGCCTATTTTTCTGGCCAATAGTGTCAATGGCAAAACAATAATACTGGCAACTTAAATAACACTATTAACAAGTATGTTGCATTGCAGTTCCTTTCTCTTGCTCAAGTTCAATGTTCCTAGACTGCCCAATATCATGGAAAGGGTTAGATGTTGGGTAAAATAATTAATTGATATTTCTTCATCATTACGCTGGCCCCGAATAAGAAAATTATTTCCAGACATTGCACTCGATAAACACAGAGGAACTGTTGGGATTCTTTCAAACGTTTATCATAAGTAGATTTATTTACTTACATGGTACATGACATTCAAATGCATATTGTATTTAACCATGAAAGCATCATCTATGAAGGGGAATCCCTTTGAATCTACGAATTCCTTACTGGCTGGAGTTGCCATCAGCACTGTAATACAGAAACCGATGGTTAGCTTTAAATATTATCATGAAATTCAACTACATGGATCCAACATATTTCCAATCGTGTTTGTAGATCAGTATGCATGTTTCACTTTCAGCGGAATGCATGTTTGTTTTCCCATTACATTGTCCTTCAAAGCATTACTTTAGTTTGACAGTTTTGTATTGACCTTTTCAGTTCAGAAAGTAAACAAAGGTACATTGTAATGACGAATTTATCAACTTTTGATTTCCTGCATATGGTATGCTGTTTTAAGACTTAAAGGATCATAATAATTAACGTGGTATTAATTTATTTTATCTTTTGAGAACATTTCGAAGAAATAATTCGTATATACGATACATAATTTTCGACATAAAAAATGATGACATCGACAATTGGTATCGTTTTGAAGATTCTTAAGTAAATAGCCTATA